AAAAAAAAAAAAAAAAAAAAAAAAAAAAAAAAAAAAAAAAAAAAAAAAGGAGCTCGGGTTCAGAACTGAATGGAAAATGGGCTGGGATTCAGGTACCACCTGGCAAACCACATACGGCCCTGAGTCATGTCTCCATGCGACAAATCATCTCCAAATAGGCCAATGAAAAAAAGGGTTGACTCATATTCTGATAGGTCACTTGTACCAATAATTCAATTTTCAGGAAGAAATCGGAATTCAATAATAGTCATATTTATTTTCAGTTGATACTACATGTTTAATCAAGATATTTAAAGACCTGTCTTATTTGATAAGTTATATATTAGATGTGGGGGAAGGGGTAGAATATTAGGGCCAGAATATGGTCTGTTATTATCAGTTTCAAACAGCAGAAGAAATTCTCTTGGTTAGAGAATGGTGTTGATACCACCAAGGTCTGGTGTTCAATTCCTGTACCAGCCAGCACACACACAAAAAAGAAATTCTCAATAAAATTCCTAAGAGTTCACTCAATACTTAGTAATTACATGTATTATATTTAATATCATTATACTCTTTTATAGTTATGATTAAGGGAACATGTGACAACTTTGGCAGATACAATGAAAGTTGGGTCAAGAATCTCAGATGTATGTATTTCTTAGAAATAAATTATAGTAATTTTACATTTTTTTTTTTTAAAGATGACCGGTAAGGGGATCTTAACCCTTGACTTGGTGTTGTCAGGATCATGCTCACCCAGTGAGCAAACCAGCCATCCCTATATAGGATCCAAACCCGCGGCCTTGGTGTTGTCAGCACCGCACTCTCCCGAGTGAGCCACTGGGCCGGCCCGTAATTTTACATTTTGACTTGGCCCTTTTAACATTGCTGTTTCAAATATCTGTGTCAAGGGCTAGCTGGTTAGCTCAGTTGGTTAGAGCATAGTGCTGATAACACCAAGGTCCAGGGTTCCATCCCTGTACCGGCCAATCACCAAGAAAAAAAAAAAGCAAAGTATCTGTGTCAAAATAGGCCCATCAGAAAAACTGAGTTAAAGGGATTGCATTAACTTTTCTTGAATGTTCTGTGATGCTTCTAGGCCCATGAGGCCATCTCAAAATTTTTCCGTTGTCTGCAGGAACACTGGGTAAGAAGATAAGTAGACCACAACAAATGAACTACTGCCACTGGGCAGACTACTTGAAATGCCTTTCCTTGATATTGACTCGATATTGACTCCCAGGGCAGGGACTAGGGTGAGTCAGGTGAGGAACCTAGAGTGCAGAGTTTAAGGAGGTGCTGACTCTAGGGCCATGGAAGATGCTGACTCTAGGCCCAGCCTCGGAGTGAGTGCCCCCTTGCTCCCCTGCAAATGCTAGGAACTGCTTAAAACAACAGGTGGAAACAAATACTCACAGCTTTCCACAGCACCCCTCCATTCCAAATATACTCTAAAACCTTTGGGTGCAGTACAAGATATTCTTAAATAGCCAAATTCTAAATGTCTTTTCAGCCACATCCAAACAAATGCAAATTTTTTAATGCTAATCCCAATTAAAACTCTCATATGAGCCTGAAAAAAATTATAGCAGATGGGATAAACATGTGCTTAGTAGTATTTATTATCTTGAACACTGACATTTGAAAACTAGCATACTTTTGTGATTTGAAAAAATACATTGTGGGGCCGGCCCGGTGGCGCACTGGAGAGTGTGCCGCTTGGGAGCGCGGCGGCGCTCCCGCCGAGGGTTCGGATCCCACGTAGAGACCGGTTGCACTGGAGAGTGCGCCGCTTGGGAGCGCGGCGGCGCTCCCGCCGAGGGTTTGGATCCCACGTAGAGACCAGTCCGCTCACTGGCTGAGCGCGGTGTGGGCACAACACTGAGGGTTGTGATCCCATTACCGGTCAGTAAAAAAAAGACAAAAAGGAAAAGAAAAAAAAAATACATTGTGCACTTAACACTTAAACAGGTAAACCAAAAGAAAATGTACCTTTTTAAAGAACTATAGCAATAAGCTACATTGTTGCAATATTTATGCTTATTGAAACAGGCGTCATGATAAATCATTTAACAGCAATAAATCTTAATAAAGGACGATGAATAATACCATTCATTTTTATCAAAATACTTTAAATTCCCAACTTGCTACTGTCAGCATAGTAGTGCTTAGACCATTCTGACTTCAAAACTTTTTCTAAAAAGTTATTTCTGGGACTGGCCAGTGAGCTCAATTGGTTAGACTACGGTGTTATAACACCAAGGTCAAGGGTTTACATCCCCATAACGACCATCCACCAAAAAACAAAAACAAATAAATAAATAAGTTATTTCTGCTCAGATTAGGACACCAGTGTAATATCTGCTAGCTCTATGCTTCATTACAGTGAGAAAAGAAATCTACCTATATTTCCAATTATTCTTAAAACGTTAAATAAAAATGACAGCAGCAAAGTCAATTAAAACTAAAGATGTTATCAACCTAAGTATCTACTAGCAAACGAATGAATAAAGAAAATGTGACAAGGGCCAACCCCGTGGTGCACTTGGGAGAATGCAGCATAAAACTAAAGATGTTATCAACCTAAGTATCTACTAGCAAACGAATGAATAAAGAAAATGTGGCAAGGGCCAACCCCGTGGCGCACTTGGGAGAATGCAGCGGGGCCAACCCCGTGGTGCACTTGGGAGAATGCAGCACTGGGAGCGCAGCGAAGCTCCAGCCGCGGGTTCAGATCCTATATGGGAGTGGCCGGTGCGCTCACTGGCTGAGCGCGGTGTGGGCGACACCACGCCAAGGGTTACGATCCCCTTACCGGTCACAAAAAAGACAAAAAAAAAAAAAAAAGAAAGAAAGAAAATGTGGCAAATATATACAATGGAATACTATTCAGCCATAAAAAGAATGAAATCCCGTCATTCTTGGTAACATGGATGAGCTTGGAGGACATTTCATTAAGTGAAATAGCCAGGAACAGAAAGAGAATTACCACATGTCCTCGCTCATATGTGGACATTAAGAAAGTTGATCACATAGAAGTAGAGAGTAGAATGGTAGTTCTGGAAAGGGCAGGGAGCAGGGGGTTAGTGAGAGGTTGGTTAACAGATACAAAAGTACAACTAGATAGAGGAATAAGGTCTAGTGTTCCAGAGCACTATAGGGTGGCTACGATTCACGGCAATTTGTTGTATACTATCAATTAGCTAGAACAGAGGATTTTGAATGTTTCCCAACACAAAGAAATGATAAATATTTGAGGTAATAAAAAAAGCAAAAACAAAAAACAGTGGTTGCCAGGGTTTCAGGACAGGAGGGACGGAGGGAGGGATGAATAGGTGTAGCACAGGGGACTTTTAGGGCAGTGGAACTATACAGTATGACACTGTAATGGTGGGTACATGACATTATGTCTTTGGAAAAACCCATAGAACTGTACAACACAAAGAGGGAATTCTAATGTAAACTTCAGTTGATAATAATGTATCAATATTGGTTCATAATCATAACAAATGTAGCAGACATAATGTAAATGTTAACAACAGGATAAACTAGGTGTATGGGGGGCTATGGAACTGTCTGTTACTTCTCTTCAATATGTCTATAAACCAAAAACTGCTATTAAGATATCCTATTACAAAAAAACCCTAAAAACCTAAAAATATGTTTCCATAATTTAGAAATATAATTAGATATAGAAAATAGAGAAAAATGGAGTACAAAAAATGACAATAGGAGAAAGGCTTATTAACCAGCTTTTTCTACTTACAGGAAACCTGAGTAACATCTTAGGAGAAGCAACAAGGAGGGGTTTCCTGAAGTTCCGGACCATCTGTCTCCTAAGCAAGTGGAAATACTGTGCAGGAGTAGTGGGGTGGACCACGAACATGTTTACGGTGTCTCCATCCACCCCCTCTTCCAGGCTGTCACACATCTGGGAGAGAAATGCAAAGAAAGAGGATGCTCAGACAGCCTGCTTCAATCGTAATGACAGTGGGCTAGCCAGAGGGTGACACAAGCGTTCTCAATTAGGACGAGAGAAGATATTTCTCTCCATTACAGGAAAATAACAGAAGGTAAGTGTACAGCCTGTAAAGTATAAGTGTCATATGGCTCTCTCCATTGGCCCAATGCTGTGTCATCTAACATGGTTGTTTCCAAACACAGCTGATTGCAAGAATCACCTGGGGAGGACTTTTTAGAAAATACAGATTTTCGTTGCTGTGGAGTTAAGACAGTGAAAGGAAGCACTATCAGAATCTCACTCTCCTAATGAAATAAACCAAATTATAGTGTGTGTGTGTGTGCGTGTGTGTGTGTGTGAGAGACAAAAAATCAAAAGCAGCTAACAAACAAGCTTGAAAAATTGAGGGCAAGGAAATGAAATCTCAGAAGATCTCAGTGGGATAGAAAGCTGAGGCATGGCTCCTAACCCTACTCCAGAAACAGTGGAGGGAAAGAAAGTAAGCTGACAAAATCCTGAGAATTCTTACTACCACCCTCCAGTTTGGAGAGAGGGAGCGAGCAGCACTCTGTGGAAAAACAAAGGCAAAATCTTCCAGAGTAGATGCCCCTACAGAGCTCAAAAGAGGCAGCCAGGGCTGCTGGACTTGCCCATGGAAACAATACATACCCCTGACTCGTGGCATTAGCTATTGAATCTCTGAGGAAAGAGCAGAATTTGTCTAGAAAACCTCTCCCTCCAACAGAGTTTTCCCCTCCCACTACAATCCTCAAGCTCCAAAAGCTGGAACCTGTATTCAACTGTTGCTTCAAGAAGGTAAGTTGGTACCAACTGGGAAGGATGTTTAAGGGAATTCACCCACACCCTATCAGAGCAACTCTAAGGTCTTTGAAGAGTTGCCCTAGATAAACAAAGACAAGATGAAAGGAAATGACATGGCAGCAATGTAAACACCATACAGCCAAATAACTTTATATAAGGCGGGGTGGAGCAGGAGGGGGTTGGAAAGGAACATAGTATGCAAAGGGCAGATAGTTTTAAAGAAAGTACAGCAGAACTAGATAAGAACAAACAGTGCAATGCTAAGAAAATAAAGTGAAAGCCAAAACCCACTGTTACAGATCTAATAAATAAATATGAAACATCAAGAACAGAGAACAGGGCTGCCTGGTTAGCTCAGCTGGATAGAGCACAGCCTTAAAACTCCAACGTCACGGGTTCAGATCCCTCTACCAGCCCAGCCAGCCACCTCACCCCCCAAAAAAGAAACAGAACAGGTGGGTCTAAAAATGAATGGCACAAAGAGCTTGAGATAATCCAATGAAATAAGCAAGCACTTATATAAACAGCAAATACTCTCCTAAGCACTTTACATATATTAATTCTTTTGCAGGGCTAAAAATAAAAATAGAATTAGTGGTAGTAGGACTTGAGATAATCACAGTGAAAGGAGACGAAATGATAATAAAAACAATAAAGAGCAAACACATATAAATGTCAATTATTGTTCTAAGCAGTTTACATATATTGACTCTGTGTGCCTCTCAGCAATCTTGAGATAGGTATTATAATGTTATTAACATGGTCTTAGTAATTTTAATGTATATGTAAATGGTCCTTTCAATAACCTGGCTTCTTGGTTCCTTTGACTCATGTCTTCCAACAACACTGTCTTCCATCCTACCTCAATAACCCATTCCCATGGTTTCTTAGTCCATTCAGGGAGTTATAACAAAATACCATAAGCTGGGTACCTTATAAAAAGCAGAATTTTATTTCTCATAGTTCAGGAGGCTGGGAAGTCCAAGATCAAGGCACTAGCAGATTCAGTGTCTGGTGAGGGCCCATTTCCTGGGTCATAGATGGTGTATTCTCCCTGTGTCCTCACATGGTGGAAGAGGCAAGGGGTCTCTCTAGGGCCTCTTTTATGAGGGCATGAATTCCATTTGTGAGGGCTCCACCCACATGACCTAATCACCTGCCATAGGCCCCACCTCCTAATACCATCGTCATGGGGGTGAGGATTTCAACCTATGAATTCTGGGGGGGACACAAACACAGACAACAGCACTAGGTGATAGCCTTGTTCCAATCAATAACAAGACTCTTCCATAAGCTCCACTGTATGCATTCCACTCTCTGACTTATCCTTCTAGCTCACTTCCTTTAATGCTTGGACTCCAGCCATGCTTCAACCTCATCAAGACTCAAACACATTGATCCTATCACCTCCTCACTGTCCTCCACTCTTTTCATGTCTTCTCTCTCAACCTTGTCTGACTTCTGTTCCACGGTCAGTCATTATAATCACTCTTTTGCATATACCCGTGAGTCCCTTGGCCCTTTCTCACTCCCAGCCATAACCCTAGTTAATCCCAACTTTCCACCTGTGCCATGTCTGCAGGGAATGAAGCTGGAGAAAAAACACAATCACACTGATGGGCTCAATTTAAAATGCTGAGTAAGAATCTCAAGTGGGCCCTTAATGCTCTTATACTCTTATCCTTTATTTCCCCAATTCACTAATTCTCCTCCTCTCCTGGATGACTAATTCTCACCTTTAAACCCAGGAGCTCCTCCTACATCATCACTCTCAGCTAATGACCTAAGAGAACTTCCTCGGACCCTGCCACGACATCTATGCATACACTGTCATGTGCATCCATATTCTCTGCCTTCCAATCATTACAATAGACTGACTGCCAAGCTCCTGTCTAAAGCTGATCCAACCCTTCATGCACTAGATCCCATCCCATCTTGTCCACTCAAGGAAATCACTCCAGTTACCCCGCTCTCCCCCTATATCATCATTTCCTTCTTCCCTACTAGATCATGCCCATCAGCAGACATGCTGCTATTTACTACCTTTAAAACAAAACAGGGGCTGGTCAGTTAGCTCAGTTGGTTAGAGCTCTTTTGGTGTTGTAACACCAAAGTCAAGGGTTTGGATCCCTGAACCAGCCAGCTGCAAAAATAAGAACTTGACACAAGTTCCCCCACCAACTACTGCCCCATTTCCTTTTGCTTTTTGCAGCAAAGCACATCAAAAGAATCATCTAAACATTTCTCCTTTGACTAAGTTCTGGAGATCTATTGTACAGTATGGTGACTGTAGTTAATAATAATGTATGGTATATTTGAAAATTGCTGACAGTACATTTTAAATGTTCTCATCACAAAAAGTGGTAAGTATGTGAGCTGATGAATATGTTAATTAACTTGATTTAATCATCTCACAATGTGTACATATATCAAAACATCACATTGTACAACCAACATTAATATATACAATTTTTCATTTATCAATTAAAAAAATGTTTTAAAGGCTGGCCAGTGAGCTCACTTGGTTAGAGTGCAGTGTTTTAACACCAAGATCAAGGGTTCAGATCCCTGCACTGGCCAGCCAGCAAAAAAATAAATAAAAGTTAAGAATAAATAATTAAACTTTCCTCCTTTCAGATACTACTAAATACATTCTCATTAGAGTTTTGCTTCTGTCCCTCTATCAAAACTGCAGTTATCAGCCATCAAGAGGCTTCTTTGTTGCTAAATCCAGTGGTTGATTCCCAGTCTTCATCCTAATTGACCTTGACATTCTCGCTGTTGTAATCACCTGCCTTTTTAGACATTCCTCCCACCTCATTGGTTGCGTCTTCTCAGTCCCATTTGCTTGTCTTCTCTCTCTGCAGCCTCCTGAGGTTGGACTATCCCAGGGCTCAATGTGTGGGCAACTTCTCTGCTCTATCTGTACTCGCTCCTTTGTGATTTCATGCAGCCTCAGGACCATAAATATCATCTGTATGCTTATGACTCCCAAATGGGACGTCCTGCCTACTCATTTCCGATATTTCTTCAAAAATTTGTAGCTTTGTATTTCACATGTATTCTTTCATTTATCTACTATTTATTTCTGTAATCTCATTTTTATAAGAATTATTTCTCTGTGTCATTATCTATCAATATAACCATCCATTTATTGTTCTATCTACCTATCTACTAACCTATCATCTATTTATACATTTTCTCTGCACATATGCCATAATGATTATTGATATGCATGTTGATGTACTTAAGGTGATGTGTACTGATGTCTCCATTTACTTTGACGTGAATCAAAAAATAAGATGGATTGATAGATAAAGGAATGATAGATGAATAGATATGTGATAAAACAAGCATAATAAAATATTAATGTGGAATCTAGGGGGTGGGCATGTAGATGTTCACTATAAATTTTCTTCAACCTTTCTGTATATTTGAAAGTTTTTATAATAAACCCTAAGGAAGTAATATGCATAAAGAGACATTGGTAACGATTCTCACCAAATAACAATGGTTATTTCTTTCTTTTTTTTTTTTCCTTTTTGTCTTTTTTCGTGTCCAGCAACGGATCGCAACCCTCAGTGTCGCGCCTGTACCGGACCGGGACCGGCAATGGGATCGCAACCCTCAGTGCTGCGCCCGCACCTCGCTCAGCCAGTGAGCGGGAACTGGTCTGTATGTGGGATCCGAACCCTCAGCGGGAGCGCCGCCGCGCTCTCAAGCGGTGCACTGTAGCAGTGCGCCACCGGGCCAGCCCCTAACAATGGTTATTTCTGGCAGGATATTTAAAATGCTTTAATGATCATGAATTGTTTTATAAAAATACTATCTTACTTGAAAACAGGAGTTTTTTAAAGTAAAAGTACAGATTCCTAACAATCTGATCTGGGTTTAGTCCCTGTATCTGTATCTCTGTTTATCAATAGCTCCCCAGGGAGACATGTTAAGTGAAATAAGTCAAGCATAGAAGGATAAGGACCCCATGTTCTCACTCATCAGTGTAAGCTAAAAAAGTCTATCTCATAGAAGTAGAGAGTAGAATTATGGCTACTAGAGACTGGGAAGGGGACAGGGAATAGGGAGGAAGAGCTTGGTTAACAGATACAGAATCACACATATATAGGAAGAATATGTTTTAGTGTTCTATGGCACTGTTAGGTGATATAGTCAATAATTTATTGTATATTTTCCAATAGCTAGAAGAGAGGATTTCAAATGTTCCAAACACAAAGAAATGATAAATATTTGAGGTTGTGGATATGTTAATCACCCCGATTTGATCATTACACATTGTATACATGTATTGAAACATCACACCGTACACTATAAATATGTACAATTATTACGTGTCAATTAAAAAATAATTAAAACCAAAAAAATCTCCCCAGGGGATTCTGATGATCAGCCTGGTGTAGAAACCACTGATCTTGGCCACGTGGGAGCCACTTTAATTGCCATAAAACCGTGATCCTATTATCCCTGAGGATTATGTTTCCAATACTGACATTGCGCTAAATCTGTTTCATTCAGACACAGTTGGCCCCTGCATCTGTGAGTTCCACAACTGTGGATTCAACCAACTCACAACTGAAAATATTCAGAAAAATAAAATTGTGTCTTGTCCTAAACATGTACAGACTTTTTTTCTTATTATTCCCTAAACAATACAGTATAAAACAACTTTACGTAGCATTTACATTGTATTAAGTATCATACGTAATCTAGAGATGATTTAAAGTATATAGAAGTATGTGCATAGGTTATGTGCAAGCACTACACTATTTTATATCAGGGACTTAAGCATCTGAGGATGTCGGTATCCAGGACAGGTCCTGGAACGAATTCCCCACAGATACTGAGGGACAACTGTGCTACAGTTTAAGGTGAACATATAGTTTAAGGTGAACACTAAGCTATCTGTAGGAGATAGTCCTATTTCAAAGCACCCAGGAAGAAGGAAAACACTTCTGGGGATCCAGAAGCATTCGGCTTACCGTACCTGCAAGAAACGCTCTATGCGACAAGATGAGTGCTCTGGTCCAGCCCCGTCATAGCCGTGTGGAAGGAGGACAACAATACCACTTTGTAGGAGCCACTTGGCCTCTCCTGGAAAAGTCAGGTGCAGGGAGTAAGAACTCTATGGAGCAGAACAGAGCAGTCTAACATGACCTGGAGTGTGAGATCAATGCTACTTTGCTGCCTGGCTCCCCAGAATGTTCATTACATTCATCTTCTGGCACTGTGGCACCATATTTAGGGGGAAAACATCCATTTTGCTGGGTGAAAACCTATGATGCATGTGCCCTGAGCTTCAGTGAGTGCAAGACAAATTCAAAGGTGAATGTCCTGGCTTCCTGGATATGTGCCCTCCTGATTTCACCTCAGGCACAGTTCTTAGGGCAGCTCCCACCTTCCTCATGGCACAGCTAGAACATAGGTCACTGTCCTCAAACAGGGGGCAGAGGACACTTTAGAGTATCTCTGGACATGTCAGAAGTCCAGGCTACTCAGGCACTTTTCATCCTCACAACTAAAAAGTTACAGAGAAACACAACTAGAGGAAAGATGTGAGGTGCAGACTCAAAAATCTAAGAGTGGGTACCCCAGAAAATGGGATTGAGGGTCTTAGAAGAGACTTAGGCTTTTCCTCCATTTATTTTGGATTTTTACAATAAGCAGGTATTGTTTTTGAAACTTTCAACTTTCAGACACATGAGTGTACCTGGATTGAGGGGAATGGGTTTTCCAGGCTGCCCCCCATCTCTCACCACAAAGCCTCACTCTGTCCCTACTGCCTCCTGGTTATCCATGTGGTAGTTGGTCACTGCACACATGGAACACTCTAGAAGCAAGCAAGTGCATTCAAAGGCCCTACAGCCGGGCACATTCCCAGGAGACAAGAGGTGCCCTGCATGGTTGCTGAGTGGCACCCAGACCTCTGCTGACAAAGAATTTGGATGCTCTTCCTGTCAGCTCCTCATACTGTGTGATGGCTGCCACGCCCCACTGGGTGACAGGGAGAGGCCCCCACTCTCTGGAACTGCTGCAGCACACAGGAGGCTCAGGAGCATTCATTTGTCTTCATGAGGCTGGGGCCATGCGTCTGTTACACATCCTTACACTAATACCAACCTCCAGAAATGAATGTGTCAAAGATGATCTGGGCACCATTGAAGAAATCACCAAACTGCGCCTCCCAGAGAGGCAGTAACTTTGGGCTTTCAATGCTTATTCCATACTCGAATCCCAGGACGGCCTCTTCTGACAGGGGGCTGTTGCTGACCTAATCCCAAGGAAGAGAATGAAACACTGTCACGCCAGGGGACACCGAACAGGAGCCAGCAAAGGTAAAGCATCACATTTATACAAACCTCTCAATGGGAGGAGGGGCACAGAGGGAAGTCAGCTTCCGTTCACCACATCCCTGGAGAAAGGAGCCCTGCTGCTCAGTATCACTGAGCACAGGGAAGAGGTGGGAGGAAGAGAGGAAGAGATAAAAGAGGTAGGAACATGTGTATTAAAGATGTTCTTCAAGGATAAGCAATACACTTCTCAGATGACCCACCTTTGGAGCTGAGAGTAAAACTGTCACACAAGCTTTTTTTAAAAAAAGAAAGTCATAAAACAAAGGGTGGAAAGTTATAAAATAAAGGCCTACCTTTGATTAGAATCCATTAATCTAACATCATTTGCACAATAAGTCAAAAGAACCATCATGGTATATTAAAGTAAGAAAAGCAGAATATAAAATTACATGTCTAAGGAGATTAGAGAGAGCTGACACTGAAATGCTACGTGATTCTGAACTGGGATTAAGGACAGATGGTAGTGATGTCTCGGTGTCAACTTCCTGACTGGGATGGTCATGTTGTAGTGAGGAGGAGAATGTCCTCGTTTGTAAGAAATAAACACAGCGGGTTGGCAATTTTGCTTTCGAGTGGTTAGGGATGAGTAAAATTTCCTTAGTATTATACATCCAACATCTTTGTAATTTTGTTTGTTTCAAATTTTTTTAAAAGTATTTTTTCAAGTTACATCTTTATGGAATATGATTTGGCATGAAAAGGAATGAAGTACTGGCATATGGTGTAACATGGACGGACCTGGAAAACATGCTCAGTGAAAGAAGCCAGTCACAAAAGGCCACATAGTATGCCATCCTTTTCATATGAAATCTCCAAAATAGGCAAATCAACAGAAGCAAAAAGTAGATGAGTGTCTGCCAGGGGCTGGAGGCAGGAAGGAATGGGCAGTGACTGCTAATGGGTGCAGAGTTTCTTTTTTGGGGTGATGAAAATGTTCTGAAGTCAGATAGTGGTGATGGTTGCACAACTTCAGGAATATACTAAAAATTGCTGAATTGTACACATCAAAAAGTCAAATTTTATGAGTTGTATCCCAATAAAGCATTTATGTATTTAATTAATTAATTAACTAATTTTTTGGTGCTGGCCGGAACAGGGATCTTAACTCTTGACATTTATGTTAAATACATGCTCTAACCAACTGGGCTAACTGGCCAGCCCTCGATTAAGTGTTTACTTAAAAACAACACCAAAAAAAAAAAAAAAAACCCTCAGGAAAAAAATTATATCCCTACTCTAATTACAACTGAAAATTTGCAATTTTGATGGATAAAAACTCAATAAGGACACATAAAAATAAAAATAGGTGGGCCAGCCCAGTGGCACACTGCTACAGTGCGCCGCTTGGGAAGCGCGGTGGCGCTCCCTCCGAGGGTTCGGATCCCACATACAGACCGGTTCCCGCTCACTGGCTGAGCGGGGTGCGGGAGCAACACCGAGGGTTGCGATCCCGTTGCCGGTCAAGAAAAAAGACAAAAAGGAAAAAAAAATAAAAAATAAATAAAAATAGGTGATTTATTAGCATGGTAGGATTATGCATAATTTATCTTTTCTGATTTCTTTCCTTTTTTTTTTTTTTTTTTTGGTGGCTGGCTAGTACGGGATCCGAACCCTTGACCTTGACACCATAATCTAACCATGTGAGCTAACCAGAGAGCTCATCTTTTCTAATTTCTAGTCTGATTTCAGATATAATCCACATATTAATTTTCTTAAAAAGACTGCTACACCTCTCCAGTTCGTGCGTGTGTAGATGGAATTGGACTGGCCGCTTTGCTTGCATCTCCACCTGGCCTCACCTCATTCTTTTTTTTTGTCTTTTGTCTTTTTTCCGTGTCCGGCAACGGATCGCAACCCTCAGTG